AAGTATGACAAATTGTCTACCATGAAGTAAACAATTTGTCACCTAATAGCTAAATGAAAAGAAAGACATTTGGGAAGCCAATTTTATAAGCATTTTCTTTACCACTAGGATAACACAAAAAGTAATATGAGATATTCTGGAACTTTGCTTAGGAAATGTCAAATAAATGACAACCTTTTATTTCAGAAGAGTGAGTTTGGATGTGTGTATAATTAAATCCATTGTAAACATCACTTCAAAAATAATTTATTTTGTGGAAAGGATGTCTTCTCATGTTACACACTTGCCAAGACTAACAGAATAAAAATATAAATGGATATGATAGGCTTATCATATTAAAATCAGAATGAGCTGTAACAATTAATGAAGAGTTCCAAAATATAACTTGCTTGTTATATTCAACACACACTTTTTTTTAATGGCAGAACTTGAATTTTCGGAACAGACCTTAATCTTACTGTTGTCATGCTTCTGCACTGTGCACACCCTTCTAATCTCACCAGATTTATATTATCTTGCGAAAAGTTAAGAATTTGGGTTCCTTTTTAAAAACTGTAAAACTGTTTAGAGTCTGTGATTTACATAAGATCAGATAGCAGGCTGTTATTGGAAAACCAATGTTTGTTATGTTCATATACTGCCCAGAGTCACAGTGTATGAGTTGAGTAGCTATCTGCTTAATTATAATTATTATTAATAATAATAATTAGAGACAGCAAAATAGATGAAGAACTAGAGGAAATCATAAAACAGAAAGTTGTGTGGCAACAGAAAGCAAATATAGTACCAATAGTAATAGGTGCCTTAGTCCAAAACAAATGGAGAACCATATAAACACTATTGGCATTGACCAAATCACCATCAGTCAATTGCACAAGGCAGTTTTACTTGGAACCACTTACATCCTGTGACAATTCTTTTGACATCATCAAATAATAACATCTATGTGTCCCAGGTTCTTAGGAAAAGTTATAAAATGGATGAAAAGCCAAATCCAATCTAAACATCTGGCTGACTGTGTGACATACCATAATAATAAGCATCTAGGTATTCAGCACCATTGTAAATAGAAAGGCATGAGTGTTTTACTTATAATATTCACCAATATACTGACATGTTATATATAATTGTAGTATGTTTTAGAAGCAGCATTCATTATGAAGTAGAAACCCAGTGACTGGTAAACATGAAAACTTTCTGTTACAGTAGTTTACTTTCTGTTACACTAGTAGATGGAGTCTGTTAAATTTTCAACTAACTTATAAAAACATCTACAGTATATAGCAAATATAAGTGACTGTAAATATTTTTAATATATATTTTCCTTTGTTTATATAGAAGTGAAATGGCAGAGAAAAATTGAAGAAATGTAAACTCATTTTCTAATCTTCTAATTGATTAGAAACAGTAACTTATTATTGTTAATTTGTTCTGGGATTGCAAACAATATATCCCAAGAGATGGCAAAAATGATTTTCAGAATATCTCATGAACTTAGACATCTTAGAAATAGTAGATACATATCTAATGTTACTTACAGAAAACTTGAGTACTTGTCTTAACAGATAACAGATAATCAGAGTTGGAAGGGACCTTGTAGGTCATCTACTCTAACCCCTTGCCCAAGCGGGAGACCCTACACTGTTTCTGACAAATGGCAGTCCAATCTCTTATTGAAAGGCTCAAGTGATGGCACTCCCACAACTTCTGAGGGCAAAGGTGTCTTGCTTGAATTCAGAGATTATCTGTGAGCAAAAAGCATATGGTTTACTATGTTTTGTTGCTGTTTACTTTACAAAACAGAGACTCAGCTTTTGCTTATAATACCAGAAAGTGATTATTTAGAACTGGTGTGAAAAATTTGGCTGAGACTGAAAGATCCATATTCAGATTTTCTCTGCAAAGGATCCAGACATATTCTCTTCTATTCCTTGGGAAAGAATTTAGGTTTTTTATTACATTTTAAAATGTTTGAATGTAGCTTGGACAAAGTTGTTTGTGTTATCATCACTTTTAGTAGCACAAGTTAAAACAGCAAAAATTTGGAAGATGATTTTTTTATGTTTGTTAATACAGTTTAAGCAAAAACAGTACTTCACTGTAAGATCCATATGCCAGTGTATTGTCATTTATATTGAATATAAGATGTCTTATATTTGTATTCTTATAGATATTTATAATATATTTTTAATAGCTAATTCAGATAGTCATCATCTATTTCTTTTTTCTTTCTTTAAATGTTGCTTAAAATACTGCTGCAGGAGTAGCTGGTTGGCCAATGATAAATAGCAGTATTTTCCAAACTTGGTAACTTTAAAATGTATAAACTTCAATTCCCAGAATGTACCAGCTAGCACTTTTTTCCCTATAAAACTGGAAAAAAAATGCCAGAGACCAAAAGAACATTTAATCTAGGCATAGGAAATAATAATTCCACTTGAACATGCTAAATTGAATAATTTTGAATAATGATGTATCCAGTGGCTTTGAATATGCTTTAGTAAGTCTATATATTATTTTTGATAGTTCCCTCTTGTAATGGTAGCTTGCAATGTTTTTAAGCAAAATTCATAAAAATGCACAGACTATGGAGATGCCAGTTGTAAAACAGGTGGAATTCAGTGCAACAGTAGAAAATTAAGGATAGTAAGTCCAGTGGGTATGGTATACTTATAAAGATATCTCCTTCTCTATTAAAGGGAAATAATGGGAAATAGGATAAAGAAAGATGAATTGAGAAAGTAAATCTAGCCTGGAAAACTAATAACCCTTGAAAATCCGCTCTGTTCAGAGTCATTATCATTAGCAATGATGTTAGACTTGTTAATTGAATAAATAAGTGCTTAGTTTCCTACTCCTGTGTTCAGTCTTTAGCCATAGCAATGGATGTACACAAGTGAATATGTGTGTGTGTGTGTGTGCTAGTCTACTGCTGTGCCAAATTTAAAACAGAAATGGCTGTGAAAGTCTGACTCACAGGCGAACACAATACAGAAGCCTGATGATGGCAGATGAGATTCTGCCGAAACGTTGCTACAACTTTAAAAACACAACTACAATGACGTGGGAAAATACCCGAACAAAGCTGAATGCCATACATATGTGTGTGTGTGTGTGTGTGTGTGTGTGTGTATGCATATGCATATGCATATGTATATGTATACACACACACACACACACATATATATTTGCATTGCTGATTAAATTCTGAAAACTGCAGTGACACACCTTTTATATTTGGGCTATAACTTTCTTTTCAGAGGATGTTTTCTATCCTTTAATTATCCAGCTTAATTTTAGACAATAATAAGAAAAATATATTGAGGAGCATGTAGCAATTGACCTGTCTTTCCCTTACATGACAGCTATAGAACAATAAAAGAAAAAGAGAGAAAATATCAACATTGTCCTACCTATTTATTCCATAATACATATAGTTTAACTCTCAGGTCTTACTGTCTTTTCTTTATTTTATTTTTTTAAATTCTTTCCATCCTATCATCCTTTACTAATTCAGGACATAAAATAATGGGTAAAAATGTTAGAAATGAAGATTAAAATTGTATTGTACAGCTTTAAGAATAACACATATACACAAATACATACATATGCATATATACATAAATATACATCCGATATAAGATTGCCTAGAGATTTTCAGTGAAGAACTCCTGCTCCTCTCCCTAAAAACAGTTTCATCTTCTTTTATTGCTCTAAAGCATAAAAATTCACAAGTGTTACTCTATTTTTTATAATGTGTAAAGGACCAGTGAGACCTCATCTAAACTGATTCAATTTAAGGGGGGAAAAATGAGATTTCAATCCATATGCACATTAAAGAAATAGGTGATGTTGGATTCCCGAGCATCTCCATTTAGTTAGTTGATCTGAGAAAATAGAAAAAGAGATTTTGCATATATTAGTTATATAATTGAAATACTTAATAATTAACCCTGCCTTAATATTGATCCTTAAAATAGTCACATTCTACATTGCAGTCCCTCTCTTTCCCCAAGTGCTGTTCACACTTGAGTCAGGATAAAAATCCTGGCATGAAATTTATTGTTCCCAATTGCCAAGCCCTATTCTGTATTGATTGCCACAATTCCCATTCACTGCTACTCATGTGATTTCCTTCCATGATAATGTGTAAATTAACCAAACATATTTACTTAACTTGAGAATGCCCTTGAAGGAGCAGCAAAGTAGAAAAATAAATATTGCCAGGCCTCTAGGCCTCCAAGTTGGAAAAGATCCTTGAAGTAATTCCAGAATCAAGAACTAACAGAAGGAGAACAGGTCCCTAAAGTTGATACAAGTGTTAATACTAGCAAATGGAATGAGCAGCAAATCACAGTCTCCACTCTTATGAGATATTGCCTTATTATTTTCATCATCATAGTATTGAAAAAAATGTATGTAAATCTGTGTCTTTTTTGCTGAGGTGTATCTTCAGTTAGACAAAGCATAAACTGACAATCTATCAAAATTCTTTATTCATACATCAAGTTTCCCTACAGGCTGTAAAATAGCACTGGCACCCTACTTGCTTCTGCTGGCAAAAAATAAATAAAGATGGGAAAAATAACTGGGGAAAGTCAATATCGCCTCCCTGTGTTATATTCCTCCCCTTCAACTCAGAAAGCAGCAGGTAGAACAGAACAGGGTGGGTGACTATGTAATGTGACTAGATCGCATGAAAAAAAAAATCCACTTCTGATGTAAAGTGCATCAAAAAGTGATATTCTTCCTGCTGTTGACAGAACCATTTCATGACTTTGTTGCTTCTGTATGTGTGTGTGTGTGTGTGTGTGTGTGTGTGTTGTTGTTGTTGTTGTTGTTGTTTCCTTCAACGTTACTTGGTGGCATTTGGGCATAGATGGTTTATCTACAGTCCTTTATTTCACCTATGGGGAGAAATTAATTCCTGTCGGAAAGAAAACAAATGCACAAATAACAGCTAGGTAAAAGTTTGTTTTGCCTCCCTATCTTTAAAACAGACAATAGCCATGGGGAGATGACTCAACCGACCCTGACAATCCAGACCCATCCCTATCGAAGCTGCGACCCAGTGGAAATGTCCTATCCCAGGGGACAGTTCCAGCCAGCAATCCGAGTGGCCGACTTGTTGCAGCACATCACTCAGATGAAACGGGGACAGGGCTATGGATTTAAAGAGGAGTATGAGGTGAGATGAATATTCACTCACTTGAATAATAGAAAAAGATTGAGATTAAAGCTACTAGAAAATCAGAATAAGTCCTGATTGAAGAAGTACCTCAACAGTTAAGAGACTTATTTTTATGTGTTACTGATCATGGTTTTCTCTCTCTTTCTTCCTGAGTCCTCATTGCAGTCTTTTTTCTGTTGCAGAGCTCCTGTCATTTATCTATTCATACATTGGCAAAATCAAAAATAGAGTTTATGAGAAACTGACATTGGGTCTGTTTCAAAGAGTATAACTAGTTCATATGCAGCAGCTATAGGCTGCATGGTACAGCTATTACATTTGTGCTGAAAAATTTGCCTGTCTGCTCAGGACTAGATTAACTTCAAGAATGTCCTCTGTTATACTACTCTCCAATCTATGGAAATTCTCAGTCATCCAAGTCATGGTTGTCCCAAAAGTGCTTTTTCAAAAGGCAACTTGGCTTTGTTTTTCCTTGAAGACATTTTGCTTCTCATCCAAGAAATTTCTTCAGTTCTGGTTGAATGGTAGAGAATGGAAGGATTTATATTCCTTAGAGTCATCTGGTCGTTACCACTCTTTCTGAGAGTCATTGAGGCTACTTGGAGGTTTATCTATGCCTTCAGAGTCACCTGAATAGTACAAACAGAGGTGGAGCCTTCTTGGAACTGCTAAAAGGACAGTGTTATCCTCTCCTTGAAGAAATGTCTTCAAAGAAAAACAAAGCCTAGTTTCCTTTTGAAAAGGCATCTTTGTGACACTAATCTCCACTATTTTGCTGTTGTTCATGTATGGCTTGTAGAAATGTCATCTAATAAGAATTCTTTGCAGTGGCACTTATTCTATGGATTGGAATAACCTCACCTCTGCAATGTATCAGGACTAGCACTGACAACTTTAGACCACTTTATGTTGATCGTCATCACTCCTGGCTCACCTTAAATTTATATTTTTATTTTATTTTTAAAATAAATTTTATTAAGTTTCCAAATTTTATATTTATATTTTAATGGCTTAATTATACCTTTCAAAATAATATGTTTATTTGTTTTACTAACATAAACTAAGCAGAGGCTGTATTATTATCATTAATTGTTATTTTTAGGAACTAAAGGTATTTAAATAAAACATGCAGCAGAATGCACTGAATTTTCCCCTTAAATTGTGATATAAAACGTAAAATTATTGCAATACTTTAAGAGTTAGTTTAAAGATCAGAGTCATTAAATAAAAGGGAGAAAAGAAACAACTTTGACCACCTTCTGAGTGTCTGTAACAGCTAATAGCTCTTCAGACTGCAAGGTGTCACCACTCAAGCCTGACACTCTTCTTTTATTTTGGCATGAGACTCTTTTGTGAAAGAACCTTAAACTATTGGAATAATTTTGTTCATTTAAAAATGTATTTCAAATTGCAATGGATTGTAGAGCTGGAAAGTGGAATAGCACTTCTAGATTTGAGTATCAAGCCAAGAAGCTTATCAAGGAGACCTGGTATGCCTGAGATTTTGTAATTAAGAAGTTAAAAGAGTGGCATTCTGTTCTAAAGATTATTTTAATCTTTCTAGCTCAGTCTAGTAGCTAAAGTAAAATTTGTGATAGTATAATTAAGAAGCAATTACCTGTACTGATGATCTTCTATTTAAATCAGGCATTATTGTTGGGCATCTGCTCCACTTGATCACCCAAGTGGGATCAAGTTGTTGTACATTCCTGGCCACATATTTAATTAGTAGTGATAGACATTTAAATTTTTCATGAAGCCTCCAATCAAATACCTCTCTAGATACTACCATGCTATGAGAAAGGCCAATTGTTACTACCAATAAGACCAGTAGATACATCATACATTACTTTGCTGAACTTGAAATTGACCTTGGCTACTTGTTACATTCTTTTCCTAATTCTCAGTGGATGAGATTTCATTCTGATGACCTTAAGGTATGCGGAGACTGGGAGGTTAGGTACTTGGTGAATATCACTTTCAAAATGCTATTAGAGAAATTCAGCAGTATAGGCTAAGTAATGATCCACTTATCATTAATACCTGGAATATAACCATTATGACACAGTGTTGGACATCTTAAAAATATGTTCCTGTAACTTTGTCATTTAGTTAACTGTATCCCTATTTACTTGGTCATATTTTTTGTGTGAAATGTTTCTTAGACCTGAAGCCTTTGCAGAAACAGTGGGCAAATAATATTCAAGATCCAGTAACTGAACACAAATACAAAATAATGGCTAATGGAGGAAACATCTCATGAAAATAGAACCAACTGTCTATCTGTATAAATAGAACCTATATTACTATAGATAACCATATACCTAAGATTGGACGACTGAACTGCACTGAAAAGAATTAACACTTCTGTTTTACAAAAAAAAAAAAGAAGAAGAAGAAGAAGAATATGAAGGTTAACTTTAAAACATTGGGTATTTTTAAAAGAAATTTCTTAATAGAGACAAATCTGCTTTTTCCCCACTGCATCTGATGGTGGTTTAAATATTCCAGGTTTGGGGGAAAAATATAGTTTTCAAGGCTAGTGAAGAATATTTACTGTTTTATTGAAAGAGAAATTAAAAGCTGATCTTGGGAAAATTTAAGACAGAGTAAACACATATGGGGAGAAAAGAAACCCCATCATTTTTGCTATCTTTCAAGCCTTCAGAAACTGTCACTGAATTTAAGAACAAATTGCCTAGTAATATAAGATGAGAAAAAGTTATGGTTATGGCAGTCGTTAATAGACATAAAAAGAAACAAAAGGGGTGGGAGGCAGAAAGGCATCATAAAGAATCACTTAGCCCATTTCTGAACAGATCATTAAACTTGACGCCATAAAGTAATATTGATCAGTCTTTCCAGCATATCAAAGGGCAGCTATTTCATGCACAAAGTGAACTCAAATCACCTTAGAAATCCCAGCCCTATTGAAACTAATTCTGGTATCATGGCTCTCAAAAATATATGCCTCTCCTTTCTTCTTCTTCTAGAACCATGTTGAAAGATTCACTCTTCACTCATAATAGTCCTCATTTCTTTCCAAATAAAAATAAATTCACAGGATTGGTGGGAAATTAAAAGGCATCTTAGTATATTTCTTAAAATACAGTTCATAACATATCATAATTAAATGTGTTGTGATGCCTTCAGAGTAGCTTTTTCTCCCCATCCAATGGGTTCCTAAAAGGCCATGCTCAGGTACAGAGTTAATTCCTGCAAAATGCTTCCCAAGGCAAAGTGTCTTTTCGTAATGAAAAAAGAAAATGCACTAAAAAGCAGCCACAACTCAGTTTCTCCAGCAAATGCTTAGCGCACATACCTCCTCAGCCTGTCCCTGTAGGGTGACACAAATAAGAATGGCAGCTCGTGGAAAAGGCTACAAGCAGTTTTACCCAATGGGGAAAGCATCAGAGATTGGCTTAGAGAGTATTTGCCTTGGTAAGCAAGAGTATGGCCTTTTGGGGTGGGGGTCTATGACAACTTGTCACAGCCAACTCACCACGGCTAACTTACCACAACCAACACACTGTGGGATAACTTGCTGCAGGACAAGAGTTATACTAATATCAAAGAAATGGTGGAATAGAATTATTAAAGAAAGGATGCAAAGGGAGGACAGAATGAAGTGTGAATGACAAAAATTAAAATATTTTTTATTTATTTTAAATAATTAAATAGAATTGTTAAATTGTCCCATAGCAAGTTGTCCTACCGCAAATTGGCCATGGCAAGTTGTCCCATGGTGAGTTGGCCATGGTGAGTTGACTGCGGCAAGTTGGCCATGGTGGGTTGGCCATAGCTAGATGGCTGTGGCAAGTTGTCCCATTCTGTTTTTAGGGGCAGGCATTTTCCTTTGGAAGAAGAGGTGCAGTGGTCCTTGCAGAAATGGAGCCAAATCCTACAGGGAAGGAAAAATCATACCAGGGAAATTCAGAGAATATTCTGGCAATACTAGGCCACCAAACAGTAACACTGTATGAGAGAGAAGAAGGGAAGGGAAATCTACTCTCCATATTTTATAGGAAACATTACATACAGGCACCTTTGTATTTCACATTTCCAGGTGTCAGTGAAATTTTATTCCATCTTCATCACTAGTGTTGCATCTTTTGACTGTTGTCTCAAACATTCCAAAGTTCCAGTCAGAGAGATAATACAACAAACAATATTAATATCAAAGGACATCCAGCCCTTTCTATCTTGCATTATATTCATTCCTACTGCTGGCTCTTCATCTCCTCATTTGGGTTAGTTCCATAATCTGTTCTGGCTCAGGTGGCCTGAAAAGGATTAGGAAATGGCTCATAATATAAGGCACTACTTATCTTTTCCCTTCAACAAACTGAAGAATTAAACAATAGCAATGGAGTAAAATGGAATGTATGTAGGGTGATTTGGGAGGCAGTGTTAATTAAGGAAGCACTGTGGGATGGAAGAAGTTGGGAAGAATTGCCTCAAGGCAGACAGAAGTCAATGCCTGGATCTTTAAGAAGAGATTTGTCTGAAATGGTGTAAGGTCTTCTGCTTGAGCAGGGAATTGACTAAAAGACTTCCAAGCTTCCTTCCAACTCTGTTATTCTGCTACATTGAAATATCACATTATTCTTGCCATTTATCATTTTAGTCACCGTTCCATGTCTGCTATGTTTAACTTAAACTAATAGGGCCAGAACATGTCTAGGTATCAGATTCTCCATTCCAGGGTAGGATTTAAATGCACATTCTTTGTGAGTATAGTGGACACAGTTGTTGAATGGGTACTTGATATTTTGCTGTGTGTGTGTGTGTAATATCTTTCAGTGGGAGCACACTATTGCAGGAACAGACTGCCTGTGTGTGACATATTTGAATATGGTTTGACAAAAGTATACAGTATACTACAGTATGTATACTTGCAAATAAGCCCATCCATGGATAAAATTCAGGATTCAAATTTTAACCAAAATAGCATGAAAAATGGATAAACCAACCTGCATTTTTCAAGATGTTCTGGT